AAGGTAAAGCTGCCTTCTTCTAATATGACAGACTGGTTATTAAGAACTGAATATCTTTTTAGTGACGCACTGTAGGCATAACTGAACAGATAAGGGTTCTGGCCGAGACCATTTGTCGCATGCGATACATAATGTGCAGATGAGTAGTAAAATTAAATTCTATATCTGGAATATTAAAGTTTAATTTTTAAAAAAAAAACTAAAAAGAAACTATCTACTGATCTGTCTAATTCGGATTGTATTAATATGATCTGTTTTATGCGTGATTTTGATATTGATGCACTGGTCGAAACTTGGACCCATGATAAAATCGACTTAAGTGGTTTGACAAATTATGTCAGTTATTTAAAAAAAAATAATGCAAAACGTTATTCTGATGGTATTACTGATTACTTAACAGAACAGATTAACCATAATTTCAGTATATATTAACTTGGGAATAAATCAACAAATATTGTCTGGCTGAAAATCTCCCATTCAATACTTTTTCGTTCGAGAAGAACTAATTTTTGGTGTTGCATATATGTCACATGATCACTCGTCAATATATGCAGACGATTTGTTTACCATCATAGACAACTATTTGGCACATTATAAAATTATGTATCCAAACCACTCATTTATTATTGGTGGATATTTCAATGCTTATACCTTTTCACAACCTGATTATTATACATGATAGTAATAAAATCACTGATAACATTTTGCCTATGTCGATGATCTAGATTTTGTGGGAAAAAACAAACAAAAACAGAAGGAGCTAAATCACTATGATGAGAATTTGATGAAAATGTGTCACCTATCTTGAATGAGGATTGCAAATGGTAGATGTGATGATGATAAAAGAATTGGAAACACAGATGTACATAATATATAATTATTATGAAAAGCCAACAAATAATACAAATTAAATACACATAACAATTGTCTTACAGCTTTTAAAATTCTGACTCTTGTTGATTCATTATCTGATATTTTGTTCATTAAGGAATATTTTGCTTCATATACCTCTTCATATATTCGTTATTGTAAATGCCGATTAGGGTCTACTGTAAGCAGACTCAAATGGCGGTTTGTGGGTCCCCTACCTTTTGCAATAAGGGACGACGAAACGGAATCTGTAAACTTAAAAATAACTTTACTAAGGCGATTAGCAGTTACTAGTATCCATGGATATGCAGTAGCAGCCTTAGCAAACGCGGGGACCTATTTGGATCAATTTGGCGTTGTCCCCAGTGAGCACGGCATTTGGAAATAAACTTTTAAACAAGTCTTATATGATATCAAACTTAAAATTTTATTCCATAGCTTTAAACTTACTTTCTCTCTACATATATATTTTTGAAAATTTCGGCGGGGCCTAAATCTGTCCAGTCGGCCTAAGGCCGGCTCTACGGATATGGTTAGATTATGTAAATCAATACAATTAAGCCAATTTCAAATGATATGCTAATTAAAGTATTATTAAAAAAAGAGACAAAAGTTGTAAATGAAATCGCAAAGAATTAACTGGATAAATTGTTAAGTAGATAGATTGATCACTGCCATTTTAAAACCGATATAGATGGTATTGTATTATTTAGTATCTTCGAATATATGGTGCTATCTTAAAAATATGAGCTATAAGCTTGTTATTTGCAACATAAATATTATACAAAGTGCATCGCAGATGACAGTTAGAACGGATGCAAATAGGATGCGCAAGTAAAGGTGCACCGAAGATTTGCCACACGAAGGTACACGGTACATTGAAGCCAAATATAGGTGTTAAAGCTGTACGATACTGCGAAAGTGCAGTCACATCAGACAACTGTTAGTAAACCGTTATTCTTGAATTAGCATAAGGCTTACACATAACAAATTCCCAAAGGCGCAAGTACTAGACTAAATGGATGAATGTGCTACCCTGAGGGTGTACAGAGTACATTGACTTTGGCCTTGTGAGATATATAGATATACTTGGCCTTGTTTGGAGGCCCTATGCACAAATTCTAACCTTAAAGGTAACCAAAATTGCGCCTCAGTCTCATAGTCTCAGAGTAATTGCAGTGAATAACCATTTGCACGTGGGTCATTTTGTTAAATTTTTTAATATTGTACTAAACTGCTAACACAACCTACACCGAAATCTTGTTTTTAGGCCGCCGCGAAGCCCCTTGCTGCGCGGAGTCCTAGGCACGTGACTCGCGTGCCTATGCCTTCAAACGACTCTGCCTTGTAAGCTTGTAAGCGAAACATATATACTCCTGAAGTGCATACACTTTGAAAGTAGACTCTAGCTTATCAAATAAAAAGAGCCTGCTTTTAAGGTGTACAGACAACGGCAGACATGGTTCAGTGTATCAAGCACACCATTATCTGGAAATACTTTTTTATTTAAAATAGTATTTGATCATTATCATAACATCTCAGTATTTTGCATTTTCAATGCCAGGACTCTATGAGCCAAGGAGTAATTATAGATGTAAACGGAAGTGTCTAGCTGAACGCTACGAAATCAGACTAATCTGTTGCACCAGAAACTGCTCGCCATCCGAATCTGTTGCACCGGGAACTGCTCGCCATCCGATCAGCAGGGTACAGTAACCAATTAGAATCCTCGCCAAGCCATAGGCAAAAGTTAGTCGAAAATGGCGTCTTCAAAACAAAGAGAGGAAAGTATTACCCAATAACATGGATGATTAGTCATTTCACAAAGTTCATCTTGAATAGACAAGACTGTTTTAAATAAAGACATATGAATACCATATAATTCACGTTGAACATATGAAAATCAAACAATACTCTTTAACTCAGTCTAAGTTGCACACAAAAGAACAAACTCCCACTTCTTGTCCCAATTCATGTATCAATCCCAGAAACTTGTGAAGAAATTTATCATAATATTTCAGTGTTCCTCTTTTCGTTTGTTAATTTGTAATCCACTGTACTCCTTGTGATACGGGTTACAGTAACCACTAGTTTGATAAAAGTCAGTTTATTTGTTTCCAATTCTCGACACATCGGCCATGTTATGAAATCCCATAAAAATTTACACACTTACATTTATAATCCTTTTTCACTACTGAGAGGAAATTTTCGGGTCCGTTTCAAAAATTTTTGTCCCGATTCGATTTTATTTAAATATAATTTTCATATTAGTACCATAATGAATTATGTGCAACTTAGAGTGATGCAGTTTACAATTTTTATACAAGAACTATGGAATGGATTCTGAACGTTGTGGGTTTTTATAAATGAAACTTATCCACCAATAAAATAGTTAACATTAATGGATTTGAATATGCTTCCATCACACTTTGTAGAACTAAAAATTCCAGATCAACATCTTTTTCCAAGTTTAAAAATCAGTCTTACATGTTGAACGTTTGAAAATGGTGTGTGAATGTGTGTTAAGATTGCTATTTACAATGGATTAGAACTACCATGTGTTTCTTACTCATAAGCTTTAAAGGAGCTCATGGGAGGTGACGATGTTCACAGTGGCTGTAAATCACGTACATACTAGTTGATATGAATGTTTCAAAAATTGGATTAAAATAAAAGAGAACCAAACATTCAGTCTAACTAACAAAAATAAAACTAAGAGCATTATCAACATTTGTTACCTCCTAATTTGCTGAGTTTTTACCAGCGCGTAAATGGAAAGAGCATGAGTAATTATTGGAGAAGCAGTAGTAACGGTGTAATACTAACAGGATCATCTGTTTAAATTATTTTATAGTACTGGTCAAAAGAGAATTTGCAAAGACAACAATTAAAGAAACTAACTTGAATATACAATGAAAAGAAATAAAGAAAACAACCGATTATTTTCAAGAAAGATAAAGGGAAGAAGTGTTAGTGAATGAGACTTAAGCACACTGTGTAATGATTTTGGTCTCTTTTCGTATATTCATTGTGCTATAGAAAATAGAATGAAAATCTAGGTGACAAGAGAAGGCCCTCTAAATATGATGTATTTTCACAGCTTTCTGTTTAGGCTACAGTTTACAGAATTATTTCAGAGTCGAACAACAAAAGCAAAAAAAATTAGCCACACGAATATCACATTTGTGTGACACAAATACTCTTTATTGGATGCCAGATTATACGATTGGTATTCACTTTTAAAGTAAAAGAAAAGAAAATAGCGAAAGAAACTCATAAAATGATAATTTGTTTAGTGATAGAGTGAGGTAAAACGATGTTTTCACTAACGTGGAATACAAATAGATCCTAAAATTAATCAGATAAACGGTTTTGGGCTGCCGTTTTGATGTCTATCAGCAAAACAATAACTAGTTTCTAATTTATGACTGTGTTAAACTTGACAAAATGGACAAATATAGCAACTAACCAAACCTAGTGTTTAGGACCAGACATGATTTTGAAATATCTATATGGGTAATCTTACATTTTTAAATGAAACCCTTTCTTTTTTGTTATTCTATTTTGTTCTAATTTCCAGAAAGGACATAAAGACTGGAAAATGTGTTTGAATAGAACCATCTTGTTGAAATCATACAAAAGTCTCAGATGATAGAAACAAACTTTTAATGAGACTTGAATATTCCATGGCTACAAAGTGATTATACCATGGCCACACGTTGATGCACACTGCACGTTTTGCAGGATGCACGCTCAACTGTTCGTAAGGTCATGCGTTTATAGTCTCGACCAAAATACAATTGACATCATTCGCAAAAATTCTACTATTCTGTTTGATGTTGTATATTTTATGATTGTATAGTCTGAGTATATTCTTTTTCTGTAATTTTCCTATTAATCAAATAAGTAATTTTTGTACATATCGAATTTTAATTCTCTTTGATCACTCATTTTTGTACTCATTTATAAGTTTTATTTTCATCTTTATCAGTCCTGAATGAATAAAGCTTTGACTGCAACCCACTAAACTCTTTAACTGGAACGCCATTCACAAAATCCGTGAAAATTCCACGAAAATTCTGTTTCAAGTGATATGAGGAAAACTACTTAATACACCATCCGTTGGTAACCGCTCTGGTGGACTAGTGGTTAGAGCGTCCGCCTCGGATGCTGGAGGTCGTGGGTTCGATCCCCGGCTGAGTCATACCAAAGACTTATATAAATGGTACTAACAGCTGCCTCGCTCGGCGCTCAGAATTAAGAGGTTAGTGTTAGGACTGGTCGGCTTGGTGTCAGGATAATGTGACTGGGTGGGACATCATGCTACATGTCTGCGGCATGATGCCCCAGTGCTAGACATCACTATAAACTGCTACACTACAGACATCGTTGCCATATGACTGAAAAATTGTTAAAGCTACGTTAAAATTCAAATCACACACAGACACACACACACCATCCGTTGGAGAGTCGACACTGTGAGAAAACTACTTAATTCACCGTCCGCTGGAGAGTCGACACTGAGAAAACTACTTAATACACCGTCCGTTGGAGAGTCGACACCATTCTTACAGACGTGTTCGTGATTTGCTTCAGTGTGTATATGCAACATTAGGCAATATCAGGCTAATTTCACATATTATTCCACTCTCGGTTAGCAGGAAAATGTCATATTCTGTTGAAACTCACCACCACCAAGTATCATGTTAGTCATGGCGCACTGTTAGTGAGTACAGAGACTAATTTGAAATATTAATACGCTCATTAAAAAACTTTAAAAATGTAACATAGTATCCATCTGTCATGTTTTTATGAAATAATCTTGTAGATCAGTGGATTTCAAACTTTTTGAAGCTATGGACCCCGTAGCGTGTCGTGGTCAGATGGCGGACCACTATCAGCTTATACAATAAATTTGCCCGATCGACATTATTATTATTTTATGTAATCCATGTAATCCATCAGTAAGTAATAACCATAGATTAGACTAGAGTCAATACAGAATAGACAGTTCAGTACTAAGTTGTTTTTATAATTGTTGATGATAATGAAAACTTTGACAAGTTACTATTTTTATTCTTTTCTTTTGGAGCTGCTTGCGGACCCCTTAGCAACATGCGATGGACCCCAGTTTAAAAACCCCTGTTGTAGGTCTCCAAAAGTGTTCTCAGGTGAAAATATTCCACGATATTCTGAACATACTGATAATGATCATTTGAGATGCCTTAACCATTCTAGGTGGTGCAGCTACTTCGTTAGCTCATCAAAGCTATCCGTGTATTTATACCGGTAAATGTCTTAAATGAGTATGTAGACTGCGCATTTGTCAACTGTTGACTCTCCTAACTGGACAAGGCTTTGGTTTGGATGGATATTTTAATGCCAATTACATTCCTTACATGGAATGTGCTTGACCGTTTTTTAATTATCAATGAGTATGCCCTCATAACACCAGAAGAACACTATTAAACTGTACACTCTGTGTATCCGATGCAGCACGCAAACTTTGTAACCTCGGGTTCGGTGATACTTTCAAAATCAGAACAGAACAAAAAAATTATTTGATACAAATTTTTTGTGGGGGGTCACAATTCAATACTCTGAAGGCATTATGTCTATTCAGTTATCAACTTTGTCACATAGTCTTTTGTATTCTGTTAATTTGTTCTATATAAAATAAAGTTTGGCAGTTTTACACCCAAAACATGTTACCTTCGTTAATGTTGTCTATTAATCTATGATTAAACCAATATTAAAAAATATTTGAAACGTAATTGTTTCTTCCCTCTTCCTTATCACCATGCTGGAGTATTTATTAACATTAAATATTTATTTCTCTCTGTTACGTGTCTAGGTTCGTAAAAAGTAATAATGAAAAGAGTGAAGCCAACAAGCTTTGTAAAATTTAACAAAATAAATCAAAGTTCGAATCCCGATGAAGTTCCAATATGGAAGGCGATGACATCTTTTATATCCTGTTTTGTGCTGTTCTGTCAACAGTTCCTTGTTGAATTTTATGAATCGAGAATAATATTCCGGCTTTAGAACTCCGAATAATTTACCAAAAATGTCTTTGTCCAAGAATTGTGATGATGACAAGTATTTTCCATGATTAAAAAATTATTTAAAATAAAAAAAATTGACTTGAACTGGTCACAAAACCAAGATACCTTTGAGCTTCAGAGGTATCAATTTACCACTGAATTCAATCACTAAAAGCATCAATTTTTAACGCAGTTTTAGATCACGTGATGGGGTCACTTAATTCGAATGGCGCATTAAAACCATAAGACGATTAACACACACACCATGGACGAATTTAATTCTTACTGTAAAATTCAATAATAAAGTATAGAAAAAAAAAGTTGTTTACAATAGAGATGATACGTAAGCCAAATATGACCTTGATTACGACCAATGATTTTCACTCTGTGTTTACCGATTTTGAATCAAGTTCAGGAACTAGGTCAGCTAAAAATACAATGTAGCAACACTGTTTTTTTACTAGAACTAAACTGAATTTCCTGGAAAAATGTAAATTCCAGTGAATAAAGTTATCATTACAATAACATGTAATCAAATAAAAATATTTTTTTTTAAAATAAAAGCACACAATTAATTAAATTACATATACGTAACATCTCCATTTGAGTTATTCTGACAGAATTGATGCAATTTCTTCTTACACCCTTGACTCCTCCTTCCATTTTCAAAATTCCTATACTCTATAACTTAGTGCTCCGTATTTATGCCAATGTCTGTCTAAGTGGCCTAAGTGGTTACAGTGTTCGCTACTGATGTGGGAGTTTGCGAGTTCGAACCCCGATCATGACATACCAAAGATATATAATAATGGTACTAGCGGCTGCCTCGCTAAGCGCTCAGAATTAAGAGACTAGTATTAGGACTGGCCTGTCTGGTATTAGGATAATTTGACTGGATGAGACATAATGGTACATGTAAGCTGCATGATACCTCATTTATAGACATCACTATAAACTGCGACATTGCAGATATCATAGTGAGAAGACTGGAAAAAAATTAAAACTACCTTGATAATCCAAATCACACACGTACACAAACACAGACACACACAAATCTAACGTGTATTTTGATGGTCTATCACTATGATTACGTGGTATATTTAGCAAATTCCACGGTATACAAGAAAGACGTAACATCTTAAATGTTATATTATTAACGCCTTTTGCTCTTAATCCATTCGGGAAAAAATTCTATATATTTTTTATATACGCCTTTTTCTGCCCACGTTAGGTATTCATTAGCATCATTAAATTCACCTCTCTATTTAAAATCCCAGTTCTATGTTTATATATTCAGTTTGATCTCCATCCTGGGTGAAGTATTTTTCTAAGTTTTCACAGAACCTGATTACCGAATTTTTATAATGCTGAGCTTCTTACAAAAATAAATAAATTGAACTGCATTAAAAGGTTGACACAATCTTAATTATAATATTTTACTTAATTATAAAATTAAATTTAACTTTAAGATTTTATTTGCCTTGAAATATTTCAGAAAGTTTTTAGTCTGTTTTGCATGTGTATTTAAATATTTAACTTTTGAAATTGATCATTAAATAATTAAATTTGTATTTTCTAGTGTTGTTTCTATCCTAAGCCACAGTGAAATACTTCCTCCTCCCTGGATTTTTCTTCTGATTTTCTATGCTATTTCTTTTACCTTCACGTGGTATCTTTGGTTCATTTTTTAGCAGGTTATATTTTTAAAATATTTATTTATTTATTTATTTGTTTATTTATTTATTTATTTATTTCACCCTTGTGTCTAACGGCTATCATGCATTAACGTCAACAAAAAAAGCCCTTCCCTAGAATCTTCTTGTTCTTCCTTGCTTGTATCATGGGTTCACATAGCAACCAATAACTGTGTTGTATTCCCAGATTGTAATCCTTTTCCTAACTTCCTAATTTGTGTTTCTTTATTTTTACAGCGGTGTGTATTTGATCTGCTGTAAGAAAGCAACCTTCTGCAGGCTACAAGGCCACTCTTGTCTACCGAAGAAGATAATTTCCTTAAAAACTGTTGGCGTCACCTTTAATTTTCAATAAATATGGTACATTTTTAAGTATGTTTTGTCAATTATCTTTGAAAGCATTTTTAGGACGTATAAACAGAGGAGACAGAATGAAATACAAAGTTTTCTACCTTTTAAATTTTTGTTTAAAAACAGGAATTAAGAAACTGAGGATTGGATGCGATATCCTAAAACCGTTTTTTACTAGATCTCATGTAAACAGCTACCGTCTCTATACCGGGTATTTCTCTTAACTTAATAAGGTTTGTTGATTTTTTAAAGTCACAATGGTTGCATTTATTACATTAAGATTTCATTTTATTAGTTGCAAGATATTTTCTTATTTTTTTTACTCTCTGCAGTATATATTTTAAAATGGTAAAGAAAAACATCACCACTCAATGCAAAGATAAATTGTGTCTGCAACTAGATTAGAATTTTAAAACATGATACAGTCTTGCTATTGGTAGAATGTGAAATAATGCATTGCACTAAGTAATTATGTTATTCATAACTGACACTACTAAAATATCTCGCCGGCCATTCTGAGAGCGAAAACCCAAAAGAAATATAACATTATTTACCTGGAAAAATCGCAATTTGACGTTTAGGCTTATTCCAATCTCGGACCAAGGGCAAACTTTTATATCAAAGCTTATTCCAATCAGGCAGACTTATTGATCCAGTACGTTTATTGAATTTTAAAATATATCAAAGTCGCACGGTTTAGTAATTTTTTTAAAATTATGTTTTATAATGTTCTTGCATCCTAATACAAGATTTCAAAGCAGGAGAGGTGTTGGTGATTGTTCTTATTTCAGCACATATACACTACTTATATTTGTTGATTTGTATTTTTTATTTTATAAATATATTTTATGAACAAGTTGCTGGTGTTTGATACCTGAACAATTGTATTATTTCCCTTTATTCTAGCTTTATGTATTTTTGATTTTATGAATATATTTTATGAACATGTTGGTAGTGTATGATACCTGAACACATGTATTATTTCCCAGGATTCTGGCCTTATGATCTAATGAATATACGAAATAGTCAATCATTAGTCCAACCATGAGAGAGTGGTGTATGTACAGGAGTGGTTGTATTTGGAACTCACAAAATGTGTAAGGTTAACTTTTCTT